TATTCACTCCTGTAATTTAACCTCACAACAAATATGAATATAATTAAACTTATAAACAACTCTAATAATTTCCTGCCATAAACTGATCCTGAGCAGATGGTCATGAACAGAAATACTGTTTTGTCAAAAAAAGTCAAAAGCATTACCCGTCTCATTAAATTCAGTTTTGTTTAGCCAGACTGTTGTTTATCAGCACGTTTGCAGCTTATTTTGGCCACTTAAAGAGCGTCCAGACTGGATTTTGAGCTCCATTCACTTTTATTGATCCGAAAGCAAACATGGGGGAGTGAAAAACACAAGCACAGGCCAAGAAGTTTCATATTTTTGCTCAAATTCAGGTTGAATTTTGAAATTTTGAGTTTATCAATATTTGTTAGTTCTGGCGTATTATTTATATAAAAACAACAACAGTAAAAGCTGTAGACAGGAAGATTGAAAAGACTGACGTAGTTGCATGTAGTTACTTATCAACAGCTGTCTAAAGGATACCTTCAACATAAACTGATTTTACAATAAAAATAGTTCAAAGCAAATGTGTCATGTTACACATTCATCTGATCTGATATCTGATTTTATGGCTGTTTGAGAAAAAATATTATTATTATTACTTATAAGTGGTCTTTGTCTGCTTTAAGTAAAGTAACACAAGTAACATTATGTTACTTTATACGTATAACACAATACACTATGAGAAAAATAATCCATTATAGTTTAGTTGGATGCAACATGTTTATTGTGTTATAAATCATCAAAAGCTATAACCACAAATAAGTAAATGTTATAATACATTAAAACTGTTCTTATGAATATTCAAGAGATGATACATTATATAATAACGTTTTTTATATATAATGCATTATGCATTCATTATAATACCTTATAATATATTATAAATACGGGCTTCATAGAAAGTGTTACACTGTTTCAATTACATATGACTGACAAATATGTCTGACATTCAGATTATTACCTTTGTTATGTTAAAACTGTGTAATCCAAATGGATGGACATTTTATATGTAATTCAAAATAATCCCTAGGTGTAAAATAAAATAAAACAAATTAAGAAATAAAATGGGATTATTTGCAGAGTAATTATACTTAGCTAAAACTAAAATTAAAACTAATACTAAACCATTTAAAAATGTGTTACTCGAATTAAAATAAACATAAACTGAAATAAAAGAAAATAAAAAAAATAACCTTTTTTCAGCTAATTGTCAAGACTTCGTTTCTCATTTTCTTTTAGTTTAACTTGACACACAAATAGCTAAACGGAAACAAAATATTTTTTAAAACTAATATTAAAAATCAAATGGATGGACATTTTATAAGCAATTCAAAAAATCTTACATTTAGGCCTAAAAATAGGCTTTATTGTTTTGACTGCAGACTGTTCCACCATAATGGAAAAATTCTAATTTCAAAAAGAGCATAATAATAGCAAACAAAAAATGAGTTTGCTTTATTTTAATGTCCGTTAGAAGGTGTTTTTCTGTCTAAACTGGCGTTTTTGTGGCCAGATTAAGCTGCAATATGGACCAGACTTCATGTTCATAGAAAAACATCAGGCTTTCCCACATCGCTGCAGGTAAATCCCATCAGTCTCCAGCAGAGGCAGTACTAATAATCATCTGCAGCAGAAGAGTTCTATATATGGACTGTTACCGATGCTCATCTGAGGGCAGAAGTGGCAGCAGTTGACTCCCAGATCATGAGCTTCTCTCTGCGTGTGTAAAGTCTTCACACTCAGCGTCCAGAGATGAAGTTCACCCATCTGTCCACACGGGGAGAAACAGCAGGCCGGGACGCTGCCCTCACTGACTTTAGCACATCTACAGGTGACACACACACAGTACACAGCAAACAAACCCTCATCAAACACTTGATGGACCTCTGTATATTTTGTATTCATGAAAAGACAATTATACTCGACACATAAGTGTAATTTTGTTAAAAAAGAATGTAGGTGTAATAAAACGTAATTAAAAATAAACAAACAAATACATAAATAAGAAAAGAAAAGAAAAAAAAAGAGAAAGAAAAAGAAAAGAAAATCTAGGGATTATTTTCAGGGCCCCAACTAAAACTAAATCAATAAAAATGTATTAATAATTATTAATTGTTAAAAATTGTTAAAAAGTCAAAAAAATTTATGCATAAATAAATAAATTAAGGATGTATTACATACATTGTTATGCATTTAGTTATTTAATTATGCATTTAACGACTTATATATTTCAGCATTTATTGAATGATCTAATTTTGAGTAATTTGGCCCTCCATATAGGCTTGTAATGTTATTATGTCTCAACATTAATGCGACCTTTTTTTTAAAAAACTGGGATGCCATGATGATCATCTGTGAGAGGAAACACATATTAAACACCTGCGACATAACGCTACATGTCTTGACATATTGGGTAAAATGTGTCTGATGACGATATTAAAACATATATTTCTGTAATATATTTAAAATAAATAGTATTCATTTAAAAACATGTTAATATATTTAAAATTCTAATAAAATTTAAAAATTATTTAAATCCTTTTAATTAGTGTAATTTGTTCTTTTTTTAATGTCCCCATTATTGTCTTAATATTATATAAAATGTTAAACTGACAATAAGTATTTTAATAGTATATTAATATATAATAGTATATTTAATAGTATATCATATATAATTAATAATAATATTTGAAATAAAAGTTTAATTTTTATATAGTCTAGCTATTTTATACACAACTTTTTTATAATGGGAAAATTTGACAATTTATTCATTCATTCCTCACGAACAAAACATGTTTTCTTGCGAAAGTTAATCGATAATTACGTTTTTTTCCCCTGTGGCCTCAATATTACTTTCCATCATCTTGTGTTTTAACAAAGTATCGTAGTCCGGGCAGGATAACTGCAGCATAAACATCCCTTTGTATTATCAATGGATTTGATTAATGAATGTGGTGTTTACACAAGTTGTCCTAAGACAAGAACGCATTTTGGTTTTAGGACAACTTTGATGAAACACTTCAAATGTTGACTAGTGTATTTTAATATAGATTTAATATCCAATAAATATATAATATATAATTAAAATAAAAAAAAGATTTAAAAATTATTTTAAACAATTTAAATCCTTTCTGTTTGAGCGCATGTTGTTCTTTTTCCATGTTCCCATCATTATATGTCTTAACATATTGGATAAAATGCTGACAATATTAAAGTATATAATATATAAATACATATAATTTTAATATATATATATATATATATATATATTTTTTTTATTTTTTTATTTTTTGGCCTCAATAGTACTTTCCATCATCTTGTGTTTTAACAAAGTATCGTAGTCCGGGCAGGATAACTGCAGCATAAACATCCCTTTGTATTATCAATGGATTTGATTAATGAATGTGGTGTTTACACACGTTTAATATGAACATGAACTTCACATTGACCTCTTCATGTAAACTACCTGTAAATCCCTCATTGAGCAATAACTAGCTATCTGTTTGTGTGAATAACCAGATCATTATTAATATTTTGTGTTCAGAGCATATTTCCACAAATCTGATAAACCCTTTTATATAGATACATAAAAATGTCAATTACACGTTCAAAAGGTTCAGGAAAGACTCACCTGATGGCAGAAGATTCACATGAAGATTGTTCCTAAAACCCTGAAAATACATTTAGTAAATCAATATCTGGAAATGCACAACTTTAACACAATAACCTACATAAAACAGAGATTGTACAGATTATATAAATTAAGCAAACATACACAGAGAATGATTCCTGAAGCTCAGGCCTCTGTGAATCTCCCTTCCAAACACTCCGGCTGTGATACAGTGCAGGAACGTCACATGACCGAGTCTGTTGTCTGGGATACGTGATAATTTACTGTAGTATCCACTCATAAACGTCCCTGAGGTTATCTGAGCTTTACGCAACACCTGCACAAACAGAGACGCAGGTCAACCAATGAGAGACTCAGATTTCTGTCGCATGGATCAACATAAAATAAAATAAATAACAAAATAAAATAACAAAACAACTTAAAAACAATATAAAAAAATAAAAATTATTATTATTATAATCGTTATTAATAAATACATCACCAAAAGGCTGGAAATATTGTTATAATATTATTTTAAATAAATGACTAGTCATAATCTACTACAATGACTGTTTGGATACAATTGAAATTAAAATAAAATTGGATAAAATAAAATATTATTATTATTATCAATAAGTATATCACTAAAAGGCTAAAAATATTGTGTTTTTAATAAATGACTAGTCAATCTACTTGACTACAATAACTTTTTGGATAAAATAAAATTGGATAAAATAAAATAAAAAATATTATTATTATCATCGTTATTAATAAATACATCACCAAAAGGCTGGAAATATTGTTATTATATTATTTTAAATAAAAGACTAGTCATAATCTACTTGACTACACTTACTGTTTGGATAAAATTGAATAAAATAAAACAGTTGGATTAAATAAAATTGGGAAAAAAAATTAAAATATTATTATTATCAATAAGTATATCACTAAAATGCTGAAAATATTGTTTTTAGTCAATCTACTCGACTACAATGACAGGATAAAATTGTATATAATTAATAATAATAATAATTATTATTATTAGTAGTAGTATTATCAATAAATGTATCACTAAAAGGCTGAAAATATTGTGTTTTTTAATAAATAAGCAGTCATAATCTACTTGACTACAATGAATGGATAAATTGAAATAATAATAAAAAAATATTGTTTTTAAATAAATGAAAGTAAAATCAAATATAAAAATGGACACAAGAATAAATAACCACTGAATGAACCAATGGAGAGACTCATCATGATTCTGTTGCAGGAGTAGATTCGAGAAGAAGAGACAGACAGACAGAAATACAGTAAGAAGTCATTAAAACGGGTACAAATAAGATCATCTCATGAATAAAACACAGCATCAACAGTATAAACACAACCAGGCTGCTTGAAAACATTTTATTAAATATTCGACACAAACTAGAGAAAAATAAAACTCCTACAAAACAGAACGCTACACCTCCATTGCAATATCTTCACACAGGAGAATTCAAGTATTCTGACTTTAGTACCATAAAAATCACTGCAGTTCATTACATTAATTATCACGTAAACTAGATTTCTTTATCTCAACAGCACTTTTGCACGCGCAAAATTTGCCGTCACAACGCAAGAGTGTTTGCTAGGCAGTTGCAAAATAAAAAAAAAATAGAAGAAAATTCTGATTTCTAGATACGGTTTGGAGGGTTTTTTCATCCGTTTTATTGTTGCATTGTATATGAGCGATAGCAATGATGATGTAAAAAATCCAGCAAACACTGGATGAATGCTCCTGCATCGGAATAGATTGATTGAGGTTGGAGAAGTTGTAAAAACGGAGGATTTCTGAAGGCACTGCTGTTTTCAGAAAGTGCCGTATTAAAACACATGACAAGATACAACTATTAAAAAGTCATAAACGATGCTGGAGTCTTGTGTGCACAGAATACAATATTCAGAACCGATATTAAACATTAATAGTCATATGTCACGATGGCCTGTTTTGGAGTTTGTGATTAAAAACATACACATTTACATAAATGCAGCTTTATAATGTAACCATAATGGATCTTCTGTTCTCTAGGAGCTCAGAATTTTGTAAACACGTTATTTTTTCATATCTGATCAAGAAAACACATTCATTTAGATTTTTAAAGCAATTTTGCCTCTTTTTCCATAGAAAGTGAAGACCTTTTTAGTCATAAATAATTAAAGACAAATTAAATACAGTACATTGACTATAATATTAACGTTTATTTAAAAAAAAAAAAAAAACAACATATTCACAAGATATTTTTGAAAGCATTGATGTTCTCACAGTTGTGTCCCTGTACTTGATTTGTTTGAGTGTGTGGCGTGAATGGTGTGTAAATGACTCTCCATCATCTGAACCGGTTTCAGCGAGTTCTGCCTCAACAGCTCGGTCCATCTCCTCTGGAAAAAGCGTCTCATCTCGTGTCCCGCTCGGCCGATGTCTGAATTATCCTCGTTGAATTTCTCACAGTTATCGAACACCAGGTTCACGTCAATGATGAAAGTCTCAAGATTCAAGTACCTGCGATGAGAAAAGTCAAAAGCAAACACAACACACACACACACACACACACACACACACACTGGGTATTGAATTAAACATTCACTATAATTTTGATGGCAAATAGTGAGATTCACCAGCTATGTATTATACTGGTGCATATAAATTTTGGTTATGTAGTGCAAAATATTGATAAAAACAGGGGAAAAAAAATGGATACAAAAAAACTACTGTTTGGTTAAAATGATCATTCCACTGAAAATAAAAGAAAAGTAAATAAATAAATAATATTATTAAAACTAACTATTATTATTATCATCATCAATTAATATATTATCAAAAGCATGAAAATGTTGTGTTTTTTAATAAATTACTAATCTACTTGACTCGAATGAATGTTAAAATAAAATAAAATAAAAATAATAAATATAATCACCAAAAGTGTAAAAATATAGTTTTTTAATAAATTACTTAATCTACTTGACTATAATGACTGTTTGGTTAAAATTATGGTCTACTATAAAACAAAAAAGTAAAATAAAATAAAATAAAAATAAATATAATAATAGTGAATAAAATATAAAACAATAATAAAAAAAATATGAAAAAAATTGTGTTTTAAATAAATGACTAGTCTCAATCTACTTGACTACAATGTTTTGTTAAAAACTAAAATAAAATAAAAATTATCATCATCATCAATAAATATAAAATAAAAATGATCATGATCAATAAACATATCACCGAAAAGGCTTAAATATTGTAGTGACCAGCCCTACTAATAACTGTAAATAACTAGTTAATAATGACTAGTTAACTAGTGATACGCACTGGCTGTTGGTGAGTTTGTCTCTGATAGTAGAGAAGTCCATGGGCTTCTTGATGATCTTGCGGTATCCCGGGACAGATTTGGGGTTGACGGGTGTCAGAAACGGCCCGGCGTCCTGATGGCTTTCCAGCTCAGCCAAGAGTATTCTGAAAAAGACCGATCAGTGACCGCTGATTCACACGCAGACTGAAGTAAAGCGCATTCACAAGGTTTGCGGCTCTGGTACAGTACCTGCACAAGGTCAGGTCTTTACTGTGGTCTCTGGATGTTTTGGGACTCTCCTGCTTTGCCGGGTTAGTGGAAGGACTGTCCTCTGTCTTCCTCTTTTTCATGTCCTTTGACACTTTTCTGGGCGTGCTGTTGGCGCTGCTCAAATTCTCCTCTGAGTCTCCAGCCACAGACGGTTTCTTGTGCCGCTTGGCCTCAGCAGGTTTCTTCAGGCCTCCGCTTGAGCGGTTCAAGGCCTGCTTGGTCTTCAGGGACTGACTGCTCGCCTACACAGAGACAAACGCTTTAGTGAGGAAACTAAATCTCCAAACACAGGCCAAAGACTCTGATGTCTTCATGAACAACAGACTACTGCAGCTAAGATGTTCATTCAGCAGCATTATGTATTTACACATTTAAGTATATTTAGGGATGCATGTGTGCTTGGGAATTGAATTCAGATGGAAGGACTGGGAAGGAATAAAATATTTATGGTTTTAAATTGTTAACTATTGCTAATTGTTAAGCCAAATTCCCCAGTGATTTCCCAATAGTTGGTCCTAATACAAAACTAAAATAGTAAACAAAAACAAATACTGTAAACATTATAATTATTATAATTCTAAGTTTCATTATTTATAAAAGCAATAAATAATAAGTGCAGTAATAATTTTGAATATTATTACCACCACTCAAAACTCTTGACTTCAATAATAATAATAATAATTTTATGATTTATAAAAAATAATGATAAATGTAGTAAAATTTGTAGTAAATAAAAGTAATAATGTGGCAAAAAGAATTATTATAATATTATAATGTTTATTATTATTTAAAACTCTGACCTAATAATAATAATAAAGTTAATAAATAAAGTAAATAAATAATAAAGTATACATTTTATTACACTCATTATTTATGTTTTTATATTATTTTTTTGTTGATAATTTTATTATTTATAAAAATAACTAATAAATTTAGCAATAAAATTTAGAATTTTATTATTATTACTGTGGTTGTCATAAGTAGTAGTACTAGTAGTAGTAATAAGTAGTAGTAGTAGTAGTAATAATAATAATAATAATTTTATCATTTATAAAAATAATAATAAGTGTAGTAGTAAAATTTTTAGTAAATACAAGTAATGAAAAATGTAGTAAAAATAATTTTATTATAATACTACTACATGCTTTTATATTATTATTATTATTACTATTATTGTTGATGTTATATTATTGTTGTTGTTGTTAATTTTATTTATAAAAATATATCAAAAAGTGTTTAAATAACATCTTGAATTTATTATTATCATTATTATTATTGTTGTTGTTGTCGTCGTCAGTGTGCCAAGTAGTAGTAGTAGTAGTAGTAGTAGTAGTAATAATAATAATAATTGTTCTTGCATAGGAAAATTACATATCAATGTCTTGTGTCAGATTTCAAGATTTTTGTGTTGTGTTCAACAGCAGTTGAACACTTAAAAATTAGCACACAAGTCACATGGACTACTTTTATTATACTTTCATGGTGTTTTTGGTCAATATGAACTGACATTTTGTGAAAATATTCTTCTGAAATTCCATGATGACAAAAAAAACAACAGCATTCAGGTTTGGAACGACATGATGGAGAGTGTTAATGAAGTACTAAAGTGCTCCACCTGGGATATGCAGGCTGGGCAGAACCAGTCTCCGTCTGGTATGGTGGTGATCCTGGGTTTATGGCAGTACGTGTGGCAGCCTCGATCACATCCATCACACAGCAGCAGCAGCTCCTCGTTGTCTCCCTTACAGCAGATCTGACAGTACTGAGCCATAAACACATCTGGATCACTTCACTTCAAAGAAACTAACCAAGATCTATAAACCACCACACAGATCTGAACTATATACACACATTCAACCTGAAAACCCTGCAAATCAATTCCCATCAAACTACACAAGCTGTGGGCTCCCAGCACTCACCACTTTCATGATGGACTTCTCCCAGGCGATGGACTTGTGCAGCTGCTGTAGACACAGAGAGAGCTGACTGGCACTGCGCACCTCGCCGAGAGCTTTACGCCACTGTCTCAGTCCTGGAGCCAGATCTTCCTCAGCCCTGCCACAGACAAGACAGATTACAGTACTGCACACAGGGGGGAAAATAAAATTTATAAATAAAAATAAAATACAATTTAGAATAAAATAAAATGTTATGATTCAACAAAATACTAGATAATAAAATGTAAATATTTTATAATAAAATTAAAAATTCATAATAAAATAGTATTGTATAATAAAATTATAAATATTTCATAATAAATCAATATGACCAAGGTCCAAAATGTACTTTTTGCCACTCCTGCCAATTGAGAGCATTTAGAACATACATTTACAGGTCATACATATTTCTTACTGGCCATGAAACTGTGTTTTGTATTTTTCTTTTAATTAATTAAAAATAATAAAACGGGAAAAAATATGTATATTTGTCCTTGTAACAATGCATTTATTTAGCATCAGTGATGTTCAGATTCTTTCAAATCAAATCAAATAAAAAATATACAACTGCAATAAAACAAAAATATTTAATAATAAAATAAAACTTTTAAAATGTTATAATAAATAAATATAACAAGGGTCTAAAATTAACTTTTTGTCACTTCTGCCAATTGTGAGAGCATTTAGTACATCTAGAGGTCATAAACATTCTCACTGGCCATGAAACTATTTTGCATTTGCAAATTTTTCTTAAATAAAAAAAAAAAAATGAATCTGTATATTTGTCTTCAAGACAATGCAATTATTTAGCATTTTTTTCTTGCATCAGTGATGGTCAGATTCTTTTGAATCTTCCAAAAGTTCATACAAATTTGTAAGTGAATGGCAGATTTATTCTGATTTGGTGCATGTTAATTTTGGAGTCTGGATATTACCATATTTCTGTAAAAACATGACATGATCAATAGCCCACATTCATGTTGATAATAACCACAGTGCACAAACTAAATGAGCACAGAGACAGCAATCAGATTCAACAGTGTTTTGCCACTTTCCACAAATAGGGTACAACATTACTGTTTAAATAGCATTAGGAGGCACAATTTGTTTTTTCAAATTTTTTGTTGTTGTTGTTGTTGAGAGAACTATTAGATGTTGGTCTATAAACCCTTCTATTTATTACAATTTATATAATATTATTTAAATAATAAGTTATACAATATTATCAAATATTATTTATATAACATTCTATGGGAAATATAATTTGATCAGCAACTACAAACTAACATTTGGTCACAAAACTTTCTATCCCCTACTGAGTGATGGTTTTATTTAGGCTAAATTTGCAACCTTGTTAGTATTATTATTATTATACTTTTTATTATAATTACTCAGAACTCTGACCTCTAGAGTAATTATAAATAATAATATTTATTTTGTTCTTTTTTTTTTCTTCTTTTTTTTTAGAACTATTAGATGTTAGTTTGTAAACTCTTATGTAATTTTTCAGTTTACCTAGAAATATCACTCCTCTTATCTCTGACCATTTGTTAAAATAAATACATAATTATACAGTATATTATAATTACTAATAGCATTATTATTATTATTAACAATATCAACAATTAATAATTAATTGATAATGTAAACTAATAATAATAACAACAATAATAACAGTTATATTTAACTGTATTCAATTATTCTAATTAAATCACATTATTATTATCATCAATATTTTTTTAATGAATAATTAATAATAATAAAAAATCAGCAACAAATAATTTACATTGAATACATTTATTCCAATTGAATTATTATTATTGTTTATTATTATTATTTATTTATTTAGAAGAATTTCAGGCTCTATTTAGTACCCTTTTTGTGGCAGCCTCTTCAAGAAGCACTTGCTTGTGGAAGGCAGATGACAGGATGTAATGAGGCTGTGGTTACTGTAGATGTAGACAGTGCCTCATGCTCATGCTTCACAAGCCAAAAAGTGAAGGTTGCAGTGTAAATGGGAAAGAAGCACCACAGCCATAAACCCACAGATGCACACAGCCAAAGTGAAGCGTGAAGAGCGGCAGACAGGCTTGAGGAGCGTGTGAATCTGGATGACCTACCCGTCACCATCAGCTCTAGCAGGTGATGGCACAGGGGCCGGTACTGAGACCGTTCCCACGTTATCCAGTCTGATCTGAATGGTGCTGCTTAAAGGGCTCTTCAGGTACCTTCGCTCGATGTTCCTCTCCAGCTCCGCCAGACGCGTCACTGCTATATCCAGAGGGTTGTTCGCTCGACGTACGATGCCGCTGTCGCTTTTGTCTTTGCAGTTTTGCACGACGGGTTTGTGCTCGTAATACAGCAGGTCTTCACTCTGTGACTGCGGCGCTGGATGCATCCAGCCCTGTCAAACAAACAAACAAAACTTTCATACTGTTTTAAACACTGCAGTTCAAATCAAAGGCAGTGCTGAAACATTAACGCTCTTAACCTGGATCTTGATCCTACTTCATCTTACTTAAGCTCCAGCAACTCTATGTCATACTTTTGGGCTTTTTCATGTCAATTTCTGATATTGTTCTCTTTCATTTTAAACCATGCCCTCTAGTGGCATTATTTGGACTTAATGTTAATGTTGATGTTGCTAAAAGGCTTATACTAATAAACTGGAAAAAGCCTTCCCTCCCATTCACAATGCTTGTTGATGCAGAAAACCGTTATAGTATTTGGCAACCCTTTCTATGATACTTCATGTATTTTATTTTACTCCCAGCTGGTTGTGATTCTATACATAAAGCTTTTTTTCCTCTCTCTTTCTTCCTTCTCAGCATTGTCTCAATTATTGGTGTATTTTATGTATATATATACTTATTATTTATTATATTATTATATTTTATATATATATACTTTTTTAAAAATCTGTCTTGTTGAAAAGCATCAATAAAAAGATTTAAACTAAAACACGAATGCTCTCGTAGGCACAGACAAGAAAAGATGATTGATTATGTATAATAATGTTCATTAAAATCCAGATTTCCTACCTTAACCTGCAGAATGCTTACATTTATGTGTCTTTTTGTTCGCTCTGGCAGCCATGTTGCCGCTGAAGCAGGTTTACGCTGAGATAATTCATACCCGTTCGTTTGAAGTGTGGTCCCGAAAAATCTTCGTTTGAAGGGCTATCTGGCCCTTCCCCCTACCCCTACCCCTCCAACCAAAAGAGAATTGAGACACCCCTACCCCTTCACGTGAACACGCGAAACGGAGGGGTAGGGGAAAGGGGAAGGGCTAAGGGGTAGAATTGGGATTGGGCCTAAGAGCACTGCCCTCGAAGTATTTCAAACAGAGACACAACGAGCACCTACCATCTCTGTTCCTGCTGCAGACCTGCCCGATGTAGTCCATGTGTTTCTGCAGCTGTTTCTGCAGCTGTTTCTCTCGGATCCCTCGGGAATGGCACGCTTTCTCTATAGATCGTAACTCCTCGACGTCCGTCACCTTCCACCAGCCAGTCAACATCTCTACAAGACAAACACAACACAAAAATACAGCTTTGTTAGGCCAGGTTCGAAAATATACATCTCCATATTTTTAATTTTTTAATAGATTATGGAGATGATTTCCATTGGAGTAACCATCATTTCAATCAAACAGTCACTGGAATAAAAAAGTAGATTTAAAATATTGAATGTAATAAAGTACAGTAAAATCTAGTAAACTTTTTTATTTATTTTCACACGTTTTAGATTTATATCTATAAAATATAACATTTTATATTAAAGTTTTATATTATTACAATATTAACTCATACATTAAATGATTACTCAAATCTCTGTGACGATACATCGTCGTATCGATATTTTGAACACAGCACTAGTATATATTAATTTATAATATACTACCATTCAAGTTTGGAGTCAGAAATTTAAAATGTATACTTCCATTCAGCAAGGATGCATTAAATTGACAATTCACAAATTCACAAGTGACAGTAAAGACATTTATAATGTTACAGAAGATTTATACTTCAAATAAATGCTGTTCTTTTGAACTTTCTATTCATTAAAGGGGTCATATGATATTGCTAAAAAGAACATTATTTTGTGTATGTGGTGTAATGAAATGCGTTTATGCGGTTTAAGGTTCAAAAAATGAGCTGCACACATCTGAATATTTGGGTTGTACTGTTCTGGAACAGTGTTGTAAATACAACTTAATCACTGATTTCTAGTCGTGTCCTCTTTTGGAAGGCCAAACAAAGTGGTTTCGCTTTCACAGCGAAACACAGCGTCACACACGGCAGGCTAGAGTGAGTGGCGGGCGGGCTTCAGAACGGCTTGCGGCAACCACATGTGACGACCCCGGGCTGGACTCCGCTTCGTCCACGGTGAAAGCCGATCCGGCGATCCACAGCATGAAGTTGATGTATTTCCTCAGCGACCAGCACGGATCAGCTCCAGGCATGACGAAGCGGATATCGTCCTCTTTTGGAAGGCCAAACAAAGTAGTTTCGCTCGAGAAAATCGAGAAAATAAAAACATATCAAGGTTTCCACAAAAATATTAAGCAGCAAAAACTGTTTTCATAATAATAATAATAATAATTCTAAAGGATCATGTGACACTGAAGACTGGAGTGATGATGCTGAAAATTCAGCTTTGATCACAGCAATAAATTACATTTTAAAATATATTGTAACAGAAAACTGTAAATTGTAACAATATTTCACAATATCACTTTTTACTATGAATTTGGTCAAATAAATGCAGCCTTGGTGAGCAGAAGAGATTTCTTTCATAAACATATATAATACAGATATATTTACAATATTCACCTGCATATATTTTTCCTAAAACTTTTAATATGAAAATGCCACACGAAAATGAGTCTTTAAACATCTCATGAAGATATTCATGTAAATTAATCCTTGAATCAGAACTCTGAACCGATTCAAAGAAATGAATCGGACGGCTGTACTAAAAAAATAACAATAATAATAAAGACAAAACTCTTAGCACTCTCATGATGTTGTCTCAGCCTTACCTTCAGGAATAAGTTGAGGTGATGGGTAATCCTGGTTTTTGGGCACCTCGATGATCAATGAGGGAGTGGAGATGGGTTTCTCTGCTGGAGACTCTGAAGAATCGCTCTTATAGACGTTCAGGTGTCCACTGCCCTCTGAGGATGAGGGAATGCCTCTGAAAATCTGAGCCATGGAAACACCAGAGAACGGCACGTTTGGACTCAAATTTCCATTGGACCAAGCACAGAAGGGCAAATCTATAATGGGCACACCGGACTTCAACTGCAAACACAGAGGTGCAGTCTATAGTCAAAGCACACAAATACAGAATGAGAAACATACATAAGGTCTACAACAGGGATTCCCAAACGGGGTGCATACGTTGATGAAAAGCTTATAATTAAACCAAATGTCAAATTAAAATAAATAAATGTGGGTGCACAATTAATCGAAATAAAACTGAAATTGCAAAATAGCCAAGTGCGATTATCAAATCAAAGGCTGCAATTTAATTAAGTATGTGCGTTTTGGCAATGCAATGTATTGGTTCACTTTATTTACATGTTTGCATAATTCCCAACATTTTTATGAAATTATATTTAATATTATATGAAATTATAAAAAATATATATATTTTATACAGTATACATTTTAGAGAATATTATATATTATATTATATATAAATTATAATTATCAAATATTCAAATTTTTATTTTACAGAACAAGTGTAATTTACAACAGTAATATACAGTATTTATATAATTACATATTAATTTTCATAATCAAGAGCTAAAACAACAATAAGTGTATTATAGTGTAAAATATATATTTTTGTATATAA